TTCTTTGTTAGGTGTATGCTGAAAGAGGTATATCTTTTTATTCTGTGAGTTAATATAATGATAACAGTGGTTCATAGTGGAATCTGTCCAGAAACGTAGCCACAAAATCTATCTTAATGCAGGTTCAAAGACTAATATTCTCAATGTTGGCACAGAGAAACAAGGAGCTTGTTCTCGTAAGGAAAAATTGTTTTCTCCAGCTTGTGCATGCGTTTTTCCATTTAGTCGCTTTGTACTTCATCCATATAGACCTTGGTGACTGATTTAATCCAAAATAGGTGCTTTTTTAGTAACTAATCTGTGTATGTTTGTTCACAAAAGTCAGGTAGAACATTCCCTTGGAAAAGGTATATAAGAGATCAATAAAATATATGCAAAATGATTGTATCAGTCACATATGCACAACTATTTAGCTGTTCACATGCGCACTAATTTAATGCATTTGTTCTTTATTAGTCCTAAAGAGAACAAAAAGAAGACCTATTTTTATGCAAATGACACATACTCATTCTGATGCTTCTAAATAAATGTTTACCATCCTTAAATGTAAATTAATAATTTACACTTGTGTAATTATATTCACATCACTGGGGAAAGGGAAGTGATACCTCTGTTTTCCTTTCAATTCTTTTTAATGGAGTCCATAGCTGCTATCATCATGACAGATCTCACACTTCAAATGTTACTATTGTTTGGATGTTCCTGCCTAAATTTACAGAAACCTTGAAGCAGAAATAATGGAATGTGAACTTCCCCCTTCATTCCAGTTGTGCTAAGTGAAATATCAGTTACAACACTTGAAAAATTAGCCCTGTTAATTAAGGGAAGGGCGTATCTTTCTGTAAACAGTATTCCAGTTTCTTGTAAATTAAACCTGTTTGCAGGAGGTCTGTGTAGATACAATAAAGGACTGCGCTAAGCAAATAGAGGATTTATACGTTCAGGTTTTTAGGAACATATTGTAGGATCTATTGGGAAGATCATGACTGGTTTTATTGCATTGAACCTGAAGACAGGCTCAGCTTTCATTAGTCTGGAAAATGCTGTCTCAGGCAGTTTGTCTGAGAGAGATAAGTATCATGATCATGAACCACTGAACAGTTTTTACGTTTGTGAAGTAGCTATGGTCTTCACAAAGAGGCAGTGATGCTTTGACTTGTACATATAAACAAATAAATAACATTCTCCTCTGTGTATCCATGGATTTTCTTCTCCTTTCTAAACCAGTGCTGTAGTCCCAGCCTTAATTAAAACAGAGATTAAAAAATCTGTCACTGCGCACTCAAGCATAAGCCACACACTCCTTAAGAGCAGAAATGCATGCTTGTCATGTTTTTTTAGCCTGTTGTTTTCCTTTAGGACCATGCAAGCGTTTCAGCTTAAGGATGAACCTAGACTGTACTGGAACGTTGATTCCCAGATCCAAAGAGAAGATGAGCAGGTTTTTCAAAAAACTATGCTTGTGGAAAAAGTGTTTGTTCTCCTTGCAAGAAATACAGTATTTCTTGTCATTCTTGAACATACAGCTAAAAATGTGCAGAAGCAAGACTGGAATTTTCAGTATCGTGCCATTTTCTGTTTATTCTATAGCATTGTTCAACTGGTATTTCAAATGACAGGTTGGGGGTTTTGGGATGTTTCTTCTTTGTGTGCTAATGTTTCTCTCCAAGCTACAGCATTTGCTTAACTGATATACTGCCCTGGTGTTAAAAAGGGAAACATAAAATATTTGTGGATCTGTCCTTGCACCACTGAAGTCAGTGGGAACTTTGTCAGTAATTTCAGAGGGAAGGACATTAGGACCTATAGAAGTATTTAAGTTTTACTAAACACTACAGTTTCTTAACCAGGTAAAATGGTTTCTCTCCTTACCTTCTTTTGTTACTTTTCTGTTTCCTTTGCCCTTGGCCCTGGCTTTTATCCTCTTATTTTCATAATCACAAGAAGCCAAATTCATTTCAGGTATAAGACTGCCAAACCAGCTGTGAACTTCTTTGACTGTTCTGACTCTTTGTACTTTCAGCACAGTGACAAGGGCCAGCCAGAAACTAACGAGATTTTACCAGCTGAGATCCTGGATGGCTCATCACTTTGGAGATCTCTTTCCCGTTTAGCCTCATCTATCCCTATGTAAAGACATGTCTACTTGCATCATGGCAGGTATCTATTCGCTCATGAATCACTTTATTTTCTTTTCATATTAGGTATGCCACATGTCATATGCTTTGCTTCCGGTGAAAGTGATCCGTGAAGGAATCACTACTCCCGCTGTAAGTAACTGTACAATTAAATCCTTGGAGAATAGGAGCGAAGGGACCCAGAAGAAGAGGTTAAAAAAGAGCCCTTCGTTCAAGGGAATAAAGCAATAAAAATAGGGTCGACCACTGGCAAAACTGTGGAGAGAGAAGAAAGATGTAAAGAGTAACTTCCAGAGCGTAAGACTTCAAACGAGAAATGAAAGTAATGTCAAGGCTGAATAAAAGGGAGAGAGAAGTGAAAATGATGAAATGGTAAATCCACACAGACAAACTGGAAAACTATTGTCAGGATCAAGAAAAGCAAATGATAAGCAGAAAAAGCCAGACAAAATGTTCCTATCTGGAAGCCAGAAGAAATGATCAGGATAGCAATTGGACATGCTTTTCAAACATTTGAAGGAAAGAAAAGAAAACAAATGAGGAGTATGAGGGGAAAAGTTTAATAATATGGCAATACAAATGACAGGCTTCTACTGAATAGGTTTTTTTCCTGTCTATTTGTATCTGTTACTGTTCTAAATATAGGTCACGTAATATAAAGTAACCTTAAAATGAGAAGAAGCATTACTTATTTCAATATGTATGCATTTGCATTGTGTATGTGGTATGTGATGGCTTTAGTTTAAATAATATTCTGTCTCTGCAGAATCTTTTTAATTTTTGTTCTTAAATTCAGTAGCCCAGGAACTGGGTCCTCTCTGAACCTTTCTTTGATAGTTTCCTCTAGGCCAGTTTTTAGTGTTTATTCTGCCTTAACAGAAAATATGGGTATCGTACTCCCACAATGGAGTTATGCTCTGAGATAATATCTTTCCACCTAGACTTCACAGAAAACCCTGCTATTTCTTGGGAAATCTGCTTAAGATGCACTGCGTTTACCAGAAATTTTGCCTGATGGAAGCTGCAGGCTTTGCTTTCTAGGCAGTGATTTGTAGGAAAAAAAAAAAAAGCATTTTCTATACGACACTTATTTATAATGCAGCTAGCCAGGTAGATTACAATGCAATATCTTGACAGGTAGCAACTCCATGCACTGTTGATGTAGCTGAGAGGGAATGAAAGTCTGTGAATCCCAAGCCTTGTATTCACAACAGAGCATAGATACTCTGCTTTAGTTCAACAAGTATTTGTGTTTCCAGAGCAGGACAATCTGATTCACAGCCATGCTGACCCAGTACAGTTTTGTATGCATGGTAATAACAAACCATAGGGTTGCTGCATCCAGATCACTCTCATCTCTCGAGGTCTATGGAGCAGGAAAGCCTCTACATCCTGGAGAAGAGCAAAAACGTTTGGATAGGACTCAGCTTGATACTCGGCTGCCTGAATTTAGGTGGCTGTACATGATGAGGTTACCTAAGTTCCCATTATAGTCAGTGGAGCCTACTGAGCCATTCAGCTCACCAGGTGCTTTTATTTTAGGAAGAGCTGGACTGCTGTCTAGACTCCACTGGCTATTAATGGGCTTAGCTGACTAAGATCTTGATTGACTGCAGTGGGAGTTCAGACACCTTGCTGATGTGTGGACACCTACATGCATGAGCCTGAATCTGCAAGCGAAATTCCTGCTCCTCAGGTCATGTACCATGGGCAGAGCACTGAAGAGTCCTCTCTAAGTCAAGGCTTGTTGAATACCGTGGTGTGCCTGGGATCTTGGCCTCTGGCTGCAGCCTCAGCCCTGCTAAAGGCTAAAAAAAATCCAAGCTAGACTACTGAAAAAAGGAAAAGAAAAAAAACAAAGAAAAAAGATTAAGTGATTTGTTCATGTATGGAATAATTATAAAATCTAGAGCTATATTATTTAAAACCCAGTTTATTTCAAGTATGTTGGCAGTGCTCCCTCCTTTATTTCTTGCATATGTTCCTACAGACAAGTTTTCTGAAGGGGTGAGGGCTGGGAATTTGAAGCTAATCTGAGAGAGGAGGTACGTTTTTGTATTTATGATTGCAGATATTTGCTGCTGTGTATAATAGGACCCCCGACTTAAAGGATTTTGTCTAGCTTATAAAGTAAAAACAAACATTACAGGTCAAATTCCTGTTTTCATATTAAACCCTTAAAAAAAAAGAAAGAAAAATACTCACGAGGAATTGGAAGTCCTGGAATTTTCCACACTAGGCTGATCTGATGCAGAGAAGACTTGCTCTGTTTGTAGTTTAAATGGGAAGAGGTTAATAGCATCTTCCTAAATGTAATCCATTTCTCCAGTGATAGGATGTAGTGTTTCTAATTTTGATTACAGAGGTGGGCAGGTTGGATTACTGAAATTTAAATTTGGGTTAGGGTGTGGATTTATAGCCCTGTTTCTTCTTGTAAGAGCTGGGAGAACTTGTTTTCTGGGCCCATCTTTTCCGATTAATTTGCAGTAATTAAAGTGTGATGTGTGGGATGAGGCTAAAATGAAATACAATTAAAATTTAATCCTTCTCCTTTGGTATCTCCGTCCTTATTTATTTTACACCGTCTTCAATGCTCTGATGAGTTTAAGTCTTCCTGTATCACATACTGTGCAAGCAGAAATATTTGAGTGAACTGTTGCCAGTAGCTCTGAGCAAGAAAGGGGAATGTTTCAGATTACAGTGTGTTTTGTTGTTCTGATCTGATCTCCTTTCTAGGAGAGGCTGAGAAAGGCAGCTCTAGGGGATTTAGTTCTAGCAGCAGCAGCACATGATCTATCAATCGCGTGATTCTTACCACTGAGAACTAATGGGGAGGATGAAGAAAAAGCTAACAGTGCCTTGTGGAAGCAACAGTAGCTTCTGCTCTTGGGCCTCCTCTGCCAGCTGGACTCTTCATGGCTTCTCCCAGACTGGAAACCTACTGCTGCCCTAACCGGGATGCAGCCACACAGCTAGTGATGACCTTCCAGCCCAAAGTCTTCTGTGGAGTCTGCATTGGCAGTGCCTCCATCAGTCTGCTGCTGACCATTCTGCAGCTCCTGCCGAAAAAGGGACAGAGCCCACGGAAGATGCCCAAAGCCTCCTCTTCCTCCACTATCCTTCTCCTTGTCTCTGTTTGTGACATCCTTGGTGGCTTAGGTAAGGATCAGCTTGACACCCCTCACCCTTGCTGTGGCAGGCTCATATTGCTTTGAGGTGCCCTAGCCAAATGAGCTGGTTAGTGGCCAACAGACGTTTCGGAGGGAAACATAACGTATATATTCATGGGAAGATTTGGACTAAGTTAAATCAGAAAATGGTGGGTCTTTGGGGAAAATGTGTTGTTTAATAGTTACATTTTAAAAATAACAGCTCTTGACAGATCTACACCAAAATCTGTGCTTTAGAAGAAAGGAAAGTTCTTAGAGGAATGCATGGAAGTGGAGACAAGGGATAATATTTTAATATTAAGGCTGACATCCAAAACTTAGCTGATCCTAAGGACTGAATTTGAAAAACACTTGCCTTATATCTTTTAATGCTCCCACATAAGGTTTGCACTGTTGTTGAAATGTCATTCAATTCTCCGGGCATGTCACATTGACAGCAAATTAGTTTAAATTGCAGCTGAACACAGATCCTGCAGAACACAGGCTTTTGAAATATGAGAGAAGGTCCCTTATCAAGGACAACCTGCTGCCCGGTCCCTCAGCGATAGGCTAGAGCAATTAAACAACAGAGCTGGACATTCATGAGTCAGAATGAGACTGCTCTGTCTGAATCTGTCCTGTCAGTTGATGTCATTTACTGCCAAATTAGATATAAGTTACTGCTGCACTTGCTGTGAAAAAGCAGGAGGAGGTTTTTCTACGATCACATTTTTTTTTCTCATATTAGATAAAAGAAATAATACCATTTTGTAAGTCTCTCTAGCTGCTAGGGAAGGGAGTAGGATTTTGAACTGTTACCACTTTCATACCGAGCCGGGTTTTCTCACCCTACTTACTTAGTACCAATATTGAAACAAATGATAGACTGGGAAATAAAGGGGAGAGATGTAAAGAGTGTGTGTGCATTCACCTGGAAAACATTTTTTCAGTCAGATGAGGCCAGCAAGAGATCAAGTTATTTTTCTCTCTTTATCTCTCGTTGGCAAACGAAAGGTATTTATCCTGCATTGTCTTTTGAATTAGAGTCACTTTCATTTGGTGGGAAACCTGGTGGGTTTGTTATGCTACATGCTGGTGTTTCAATGCCACTTTCAAGCAAAACCAGAAATTCTTGCTGACAAACTGTAAGTTTATTTTTAAAAAATCCGTCTTGTTGTCACCTAATTTTGAAGTCTTGCATGTTCAGTCCTTTGACAGACAGAAAAAGAGCTGCTTGTAAAAATGAAGACAGTGAAAAATATGAAATCACTTTTTCTGAAATGAGGCGTTAGAGAGAAATCACCATTAGCATATGAAAATACGCAGGTAAAATTGTAAATAGTTAGTTGCTGCTTTATGCCAATCTGGTAAATGCAGTCCAATTCATTTTACAAAAGTGTTTGAAAGCGTCTGTAGGTAAGTGAGATTTTAATGTACAGAACACAGCATTTCAAGTCCCAGCAACTTTAAACTCTGGCGCTACTTTCACTGAGAGATTACACTGACATTTAAGTAGTGCAGTTGTTCCCTGCTCTCTACAGATCTAGGCTTCTTGTTAAAGCACAAAATCTAGGCTACAATGTGAAAAATGTGGCCGGGAACGAGCATGTGACTTAAATCATGTTAACAGATTTAAAGCATTAATACATTTTTCTTTAGGTATGATCTTCAGATCAAGTGTATGGTTAGGCTTTCCAGGCTTCATAGCTAACATTTCTGTGGTGAATGGGACTGACATATGGCCTGCTGCTTTCTGTGTGGGGAGCGCGGTAGGTACAAAGATCTTCTCCATTTTGTTTTGTTCGCAGTACCTTTATGTGGGCAAGCTGTTGTATCCAAAAGGAAATTAAACTGTGAGTCAGAGTCTAAATACGATGGATTTCCGCCTCTGCCATACCTGTACAAGTATTTTCATGCCTCTGCCTGACAGCCCAAGCTGGGAGTGGGTGAGGTGCTGGATTCTGTCAGTGTAAATGTGCCCAGTAAATACGAGGGGGCGGAAGAGAGCCCCAGTGCCCTTTTTTAGGCAGCAGATCTGCCTGCTCTGAAGCATTCTGCAGCATTCACTCTCCACAGAACTGCTGGAATAGGAGCTCTTTGAAGGGCAGACCTAAGCCGAGGTCAGACATACGACTGCGTAACGGTAGAAGCATTCCTAAACTGTCTGTGAAATCACTGGCACAGCGTCACTAATGACAGAGTGACTCCAGCGTGCCCACAACGCCAGGTTGTTTGGCCATCTTCTCTGGCAGAAATTACAGCCTGCGTTAATACCGTATTGTGGGGAGCAACTGAATTTAGCAACTCAGGTAGCTTAAATTAGCTTTTTCAGTGTGACACTATGTTTTAATCACACATGGACTGCAGGATAAATATACCCAAGGCACAAACAAAGCTGCTGGCAGAAGTGCTCTCCTTACTATGTATACTGTTTATATATGGATACAGGCATTCAGAAATGGCTGCATCTGGTCAAACGCAATTAAGTATCTACTGGTTTAAAATGCATAAAATAAGAAAAAACAAATGCTTTCCAAAAGTATAAAGTGAAACTCAGTTTCAAATATTACAATCACAGTACTGAGGTATGTAATATGAATTTACTGTGCAAGAAGAAAGGTCACAGGTTTTTACCAGTACCTGGAGAGTGACGAATAAGACGAATCATCAGTTTAGTAGGAAACGTAGGGTACCCAAAGAACAGTATTAGCTTTACAATCCAAAGTTTACAACATAGAGAAGGATATGCTGCATAACAGCTGTTATTCAGCTGCAATAGGTAAATAAAACAATATGTGCCAAAATGCAACTCACCGTACCTTATATGCTTAAATATGGACAAATATAGTGTTGTACTGTAGATACAAATCAGTCACACACAGCTATCGTTTCTGTGTTTTCCATCGTACATATTTCAGTGTTGCTTGTAAGGTGCAGTGTTGTTTTTTCCTTTAAGGAAGGGGAAAACAATAACATCAGCATCTTATAATAGGAATGTTCTCGTCTACAACCGTGTTTCAACTTCTGACCCTTAACATGAGAAAGAATATTTTTAAACAGTGAGAAAGGTACTGTATGCAGCTTATTTACTTTTCATTTTGATCTCAGGTTAGGCGGTGAGTAGCATGGCAGTCTACCGCAATTTCTATTCTTGCTTTCTTGGGCTGCAAGCAAAAGTGCTGCAGTTTGGATCCCTTACTAAATTTAAACTTAATTATATTGAAATGAAGAATGACCCTCCTTCCACTCATTTCCTCTAACATATTCTCATGTGAGTTAATGAAAGGTTTCTGCCTCTATTTTAAGTTTCTTTTAGTACTACTGTTTTGTTTAATTTACCTGCAAACCAGTAGAGATTCGAAAAAGGCATCTCCTTTGAATAACACCCTCTGATGTGCAAACGGATACCCTCTCAGGCAGTATTGCAAGATGTGGCATTTTGCAAAAAGTGGGGATGGTGGAGGAAGATTTTATTTCTTAGGTTCATATGCTTTTTTTATTTTTTGAGACAGTCTTGTCTATACTGGACTTTTCAGATGGAGAGACCCCACAGTTTATTTTTGATATACCTACGTAGTAAATTGTTCATTTCTTAACTGCAACAAATATGTAAAAGTGCAGATTACGTTACAGGCTGAGTGGCATGGATAAAGTGCTTTAGACGGAAGACTGAATGGAATTTTACTTTCTGACTCCTTCTGACTAGCAGAATGCTGCATTATTTGAATTAATTGCTGAATAATTTCTATCACAAATGTTGAGTTGTAGGCTCTACACCCATGATGAAATGAAACATTTCCCAGCTTGATTTACCTTTTGGAGAAAGGAGTGCTAGGTCTTTATTCACTGACGTTTGGCTAAGTAACAAGTATGTTGGTTTCCAGCTGTAAAAGGATGCTACTGTGGAGCCACGACAAAGGATGTTCAGATAAAACTGAAAGAGGGACTCAGAGGGAAGGTAATCTGAATATTAAAATAGTTCCAGACTAATGAAAGAATGTGCTACCAAGAGCAAGCTCCTATAGGGAAGAACTCTGGAATTTATATACAGAGGCAAAGAAAGCTCAGTTGTCTTATATACACTCAGGGGAAATATGTCAACTCACAAATGCAATGGAATTTAACTTGACTTGAACCTATGCCTAGAACTAACTTTCTGATTCTGACTGAAGAAATTAGTCAGAGAATGAACATGGATAAAGCACCCTTTGCCCTCAGAGCCCCCAGTGCAAAGGTGCACGATGGCGATAACTGACATCAGTTACGTTTTTATGCCTTGGATACTGAGAAACTACTAAAATTTTAACCAGAAGTTAAAAGACCCGCACCATAAACTGTTATTGAAGAATTTTTATTTGGACTTCATATAAGACAATCAGGGCTAGGACTGGAGAGGTGAATAACAGATTTTCTAAGTAACAGAATAAGCTGAGGAAACGAACACTGTTTGATTTACCTGTGACTAGATCTGTTGGCTACAGCAGTTTTGTTCCTGTGATTTTGAGTAGGATTTCGTACTTCACAATCTCAGCTGCAAACTACACCCATTTAATGAAAAGATCACCGGGCTACAGGTCTGGCGCCTGACTGTTCCTCCACCCCACCACCCCAGTGGTACTAGAGACTTTATAATAAACAGCTGTGACATTTTAATTTTTTTTTTTTCCTGCAGATATGGATCCAGCTATTATATAGTGCTGGCTTCTGGTGGTTATTTTGCTATGCTGTTGATTCTTACTTGGTGGTAAGAAGATCAGCTGGACTGAGGTACCAGAGTTAAAGCTCTAAATGTGTTACTTTACTTCCAGCGCTATATGTCCTTGTTTGTATGCAGATATCTAAGTGCATAAATGAAGTTTGTACCTACGTCTGATGTTCACCTGGCTAACAAACAATGCTATGGGTGTGCTAAGTGCTTATATTGCCAGGGAAACGCTCAAATATTGATTTGTCTACACCCAATTGGCATTTAAATGCAGCTGAATTCATTTTTGCTTTAGAAAAATAAGGTGCAGTTCTGGCTCTGTCAACTTCATTGCAGCAGGATATTATTTAGGTCCCTGCTCCGTGCCTGAAGTTGACTCTTGTGGCAAAAAAGCATTATCCTGAAAATAAACAAAGGGGAGAGGGTGCTGATTTTCATGTAGTTCATTCTCCAAGAATTTTTCTCAGATTTTCTATTTTATCTCCTTTTCATTATTGCCATTATTACACTCCTGATTGCATTTACAGACCTTTTAAGAAGAAAAGAGCATATATTTACTATGCATTTTCCTGCAGGGCCTATAACTGAAGAACCTAAATACTTTGGAGAATGCTATAATGCCAGACACAAAATATAAGGTGTTTCTAAGTTGACTCTTAGAAGGGCAAAATGACCTTCAGTTGCCACTGCTAACCACAGAATTGTGTGATAGTGTACTCAGATGATACTGAGTAATCAGATACCGGAGACACGGTTCATTTGGCAGATGTTATCAAAATGGGGATTTTTTAGTTCTGGCTAGAGTTAACCTCTGCCTGTGAATGGCAAGCCTGATTTTGTAAAGTCACACAGTTCTAGTCTGAAGCAGTTGGGACTGTCCTTCCCTCATGACTGTTAATGGTAAAAAAATAAAAATAAAAGAGCGTATTTGGGTCTGATTCTAAGATCAGAGTAGTCAATCAAGGACTTTCTATGCAACCAGATCTAACGCCCCCTAAGACAGTAGCTGAATCTGAGCTTTGCAAACTACCAAAGGGTAGCTTATGTGACTGTTTCGTCCCTTATATTTTTCATCCCCTAATTTACTCTCCATAGGGAAAATAACGGATGCAAGGGGACCTTCTGGAGATTTTGGGATAAGAGAAAGGCTTTCCACACTATAGGCAGGGGACACAGGAGCTGTTTGTGCAAGCCTGAACAACCACTTGGACTTACCTTTTTTCTGAAGGAGGCCCCTGCTCCACCTACTGTCCTTAGTTACTGTACTGCCAGTGTTGTTCTGCATCATTTCATATGTGTAAAGATCTATTTGCATGAGGGTCCTATTTTTCTGTTGCAATGTGGAAAGCATAAGGTATAGTGTCTTTAATTTCTGTCCTGTTTGGTGTGCTTCCAGTACAATTGTCCTGTACCACATGATGACATGGGGGCTAGCAGTTTTGCTCTGTGTGGAGGGAGTTGCACTGCTTTACTACCCTTCTCTTTCCAGGTAAGCAGGAGTCTAGAAATAGACTACAAAATTGTATCACTCCGTGATCATTTGAATGTCTTTCAGTCAGCTTTAGAGACAGACATCTAAATATTGGGTTAACTTGTTTTGATCCTTGGGGGAGCATGTTCCACTGAGCCAGTGCAATCTTACAAATATCTGCCTGGGATTTTGGTGGGTCCTGAAGAAAGACGCAAGGCAGTACAGCCACTTGGGGATGTTGCAGTGCTGTTATATAGCTTCTGCCATGAACCACTGTGAGCTCATGAAGGCCATGTCAGGGAAAATGGGCTGAACGAGACCATTGCAGGCAAGGAGTGCCTGTCACATCCTCCTGTTCTCTCATTCCTGGTTTTAGCCTCGTATTTGTTCCTTTAAAATTGAGAAAAATTCACAGATGCTCCATGTTAATAATCAGCTTTGTGACCCACGTAAACTCATTGTGAAGGTCTGTGAATTAGAAGTTTAGCATCCGTTTACTTCATTCCTTTTTTTTTTTTAAGATAAAGTTGAGATAGATAGAATAGCCAAAACTATCAGATGTGGGGGAAAAACGTGAACAAGCTCTTAATAATTTCTTTTCAGTTGTGAAAATGGCCTGGAGCATGCAATTCCACATTACGTCACGACCTATGCCCCGCTCCTTCTAGTACTGGTGATCAACCCAATCCTGTTTAGAAGGACAGTGTCAGCAGGTATGTTCCTAACAGCCAACATGAATGAGTATGTGTTATTTAGCAAAATAACAGTGCTGTATAAAGCCATGCTTATATAGCGAGTGATGTGGGCCTCATATTAAGTCCAAAGAGATGCAGCAAAGAATGGGAGGGAATTGCCTGTTGAAGTAATAAGATGCCACCTAGCTGGGAAATTTGCCCTAGAGACACACTTTGGTTATGTACTCAAGTTAACGCTGTTATAAACCTGTACTGCAGACAGGCACAAGTGTTTCTGTGATACACGGTGACTCTTGATTTAAAGTGTTTTAGACAAGTATAATGTGGAGGCTTAACTCTACTGCAGTAATGGTACCTACCTAGATTTTGGAATGTAATTTTATCTGCTCTAATGTTGGTGAGATTTGATAGCTGAATTAACTTCTTTGCAGCCCTATTCAAAAATAATGAAACGTGATCAGAATTTTGTCACTCCTGCTTCTGAGATTATGAAACAATGGGAGTTGTACACAGCTCAGCTGAGGCCTTGGAGTTCCAGTTTAATTTACTATCCAGTGCATTGAAGAAATGAGCCTGAAAGAAAAAGCCACTGATTCAATGCATTCCTTGCAAGTGATATTATCAGTGCTAGGTGTTTTCAGTACCTGAATTCATGCTTACACTTTACACATACTTACCCATCGACGTATTATAAAAAAACAGCAACGGAAGACCTTATATTCTAAGTTCAGTCTTCATCCCATTTACCCTACATTCCTCAACAGTACCCGTTTTCAAAGGAACAGCTGAGTTGATCTGTAGAATATTTTATTATAGCTGATTAGTTATACTGTGGTACCTCCTATACGTTTTGTTTAACTCAGAGACCCAATGTGCTAAACACTCGCTACATATGCCAAAAAGACAACCTTTGTTTGCCTCATTGTATTATATCATTCTTCTGACCTGTACAAAAGAGTTGCGTTTATGAAAGAGCAGTCACCAAGGTTCTCCCTAGTTTATACAGGAGAATGGTTTTTATTTAAGATTATAACTCCATACAGCAGCGTTAAAGGAAGCAAGGGCTGCGTCCAAAGCCAGAGACCAAAATGCTTTATAAGCAAAGATAAGCTTTAACCTGTAAAGTGTTGATTATCAAAAATTTCTGTTACCCTCTGCAGTCTGTAAAAACCCTCAATAAGCTGGCAACTGCATTCTTCATTATTTTTGTATGATTTGAAGGCACAGGCTTTTTTTTAGAGTTTATTGAAATTACCTACTTGATAATTGGTAAACTTATCTGCTCTGTCATGCTTCAACCACAAACAATTGTAGTTACTGGTACCCAGATGATCAAGTGTTGGCAATACAGCAAGCTAGGACAACGCATTTTCTATAATCAGCAGCAAAGGTCTTCAGTGACAAAATAAATAATGAATGTTATTTAAATAATACATTCATTTAAATAATGAATGTATTGCCTCTGCTACCTGTACTTAGCGCCCTATAGGCACTAAGGTTGAACTTTTCAGTATGTATGGGTTGCTAAAGATGATGTCTTGTGTTTTCCTGCTCTGAAGTGAACAAGCACTGTTTTCTCAAACAATCTATAGTTTCGCTCCATTCTCTCAGTAAAGCAATAAAGAAGAAAAGCAGTGATAAGAAAGAAAAACATGAAAGTCTGCATGATGTATTCTGTAGCCTAAAAAAAGAGAAGACCAAGTGAGGATGTAACTATGACTTAAAAACAGAAAAGTCTTTTCTCCTTGGCTGTAGAGGATAGTAAAAGAAGGATTGAGCTTGAGCTTGAGCTTAAACAAATGTGCTTAAAGCAGGAGCAGGAAAAACTTTAGTGTGGTAAGGGTTAGTAAAGCACTGGAATAGCTTGCCTGGAGAGATCTTGGAGCCTTCCTTATTTTTCAGCAAACTCATTGAGACTGCAAACAGCACACCTAGATATGATTGTCATGCTCAGGGCCAGGGAATTGACTGGATAATCTCTCAAAGTCCATTCTCTTTATGGCAAAATACACAGTGAATACGTTTGTATTTGTGCATTTGTATATTATAGCATGTGACATAACTGTCTATTTTGCTGACATCACACTTCATCACACACATATCACACAAGTTTTAAAGGTGTACCCATAGCTCTGTCATTTGCACAAATAAATGAAACGTGTAGCATAGGATAGAATGTATTCTACTCTAGCCTATGACACATCATATAAAAGTTGTAGGCGCTACCCTTTTAATTGTAAAAGAAAAGTATCTTGACTATAGTAACTATTTTCTATCTTCAGTGGGACTGAGAGAGGAAAGAAGAGATAGTGGAATAGCACCCGTTTTAGAAATCTGTAATAGATGTGATGATTGTTTTCCTTAAGTATTAGGCTGCATGTGGGATTGCTTGGTGATGGTTCATCCGGCTTCTGAACTGCTGCTAGGGATAAATCCATTTCTTCCTTTGATATCTTTTTTGTAGACATCTACTTTCTGAATCCCTATGCTATAAATAACAAGGTGCGTGTATGTTAATGAACACAATTGTATACTTTCCAGTTGCCTCCTTACTGAAAGGAAGACAAGGAATTTACACAGAGAATGAAAGACGCCTGGGGACAGAGATCCAGATCCGCTTTTTCAAGATTATGCTGGTATTCGTTATCTGGTAAGGGGTGCGTTATTTTGTTTTGAATTGCCTTTTTCCCAACCAGAGATGGTCGAGGACAAGAATAGACTCTGATGGGTTGGTACTTTTTTTATCAGTCTTTATGTTTCAAAGAGAAAGCTTCTAAGCAACAAGCTCACAAACTAATTGAAGCACTAATGTAGCATAACAAGGCTGTAAGGAAATGATAAAAATATTTAAGCAACAGGAAAACAGCAACCCTTAGAAGCAATAGCAAAAAGATGATTGGGCACAACCTAAATGTGGCACAGCAGCTCTCCAGTACCGTGGGCCGATAGACAGCTTTCTGCGCTCAAGATTTCTGAGAGCCCACTTTACACCCTTGTCATCAAACATTTCTACAATATATATGCCTCTATGACTGGCTTCAGGCTGCGGATGGTGATTATGTAACACAACCGCCTCTACCGTCTGCAGATCACAAGTGTGTGAAACAAGTGTTGAGCATCAGCTGGAAACAGAGGGACTGCCATGGTTGCACTCTAGAAAAGAAACATCTCTGCTGTGTGTGAAATTTCTGATCATTTAATCTCTTTTCTGTTCTTCCATCTTCTTCCATGAAATAGGACTTTTAGGGTAGGGCAGGAAGGAACTAGAGGAGAGAGGGAGTGTACGCATCCTTATCTCCACATCCCCTGCTGCTTTGTTCTAGCAGCGCAGTCCAGTGCAGACAATTCTGAAGTGGTAACTGGAACTGAAGGTGTTGGATGCGCACAACAAAACTGAGCAGAAATAGAGCCTGCTTCTGGAGGCAGTGCTTTCTGCTGCAATCTCACAATTGTAACACAATAATAAAGGCAGCAGAAGGGATGTTGATCCAGTCTGCAGGGATATGTGCAATGAATGACCTAGCAAGAAGCAGTCACCGCCATGAAGTGTTTACGATTTACATAGGTAACACAAACAACAGGAAGAGGAAGGAAACTGCCCTGGAGTAGAGAAATAGCTTGGATAGATTTAGCAATCTGTAAAGCTACTTAATCTAACAGTGCTTTATATATACTTAACAATAACTTAATGTAACTACTTAATACACAGATAGATTAATACATCTTACATTACTTTTAAAGACTAAGGAGGCAGGAAGGCTGCCTTTTTATCTTGTCCTGGCTGCTGTGTACTGAGCGCTCTGAAGGGGAATGTATCTTTTTTTTTTTTTTGGAAATAACCATACCTGCTTGGCTTGGCAGAGAGGTTTCTACTGTGCAGGGTGGGGTAGCCAGAGGGAGAGAGCGAGTGAGCGAGAGAGCGATGAATGAGCCTGCAGCATAGCTTTCTGGGAAGTTGCTGAAAATAATAAGGAGCTTCAAGGCTCTGATATCCAGGCTTCAAGTTTACACAATGAAAGAGCCTCCTTCTAGAGCCCGGAGAGACTACAAAGATGCAGTTGCAACCTAAGGAGTCGAGGCCAGCTTGCTGGACTGGGAGCAAGCATCAAAGAAAGGACCAATTCCACAAAGACACAGTCAGGACATTTGTTTATTTCCATTCTATCTCATTCTGAGTATTCTTATTAAAAATAATTATGCTTTTAGTTTTAGATTTTATTCTTCTGCTAAAACATAAGCTTTAAAGTGCTGAAACTCTTTTAATGGTCACCGTACAGTAAGACTGAGGCAGTGCATCTCGAAGCCCCAGGAAGCATGCATTTCTGTTCCAAAGGTCAAATATGGGACTAGTTAGTCAAGGAAAGTAGGGCAACATGGGATCAATCAGAGGTCCGCAGATTTGGGAGACAAGAGCGGGAGGTTTTACACTGTGATAAAAATATAGTCATAGGAAGGACATGTAAAAACCCTTTTAGAAAGTATGACATGGATGGTTTTTGAAGCTGCAGTAGCAATACAAAGAAAGGCTGCTCTGACTGTTTGGAAATCCTAAGAAGTTATAACCATTTTACCTTACTACTTATTTAATGTAGAATATTCACAGTGTCTTTTTCACTACAAGAGGTTTCATTATGCTCATCCTTCCTTGGAAACAGAAATTACCTTTATTCCTAAAATATATTGGTCTTTTAAAGGATTTTAAAGTCCAGCTTTAGCTGTTTTATTTTATTTTACAGAGTTTTGAAAGTCTATTCTCTTCTAACCTGAAATTTTAGGATATTTAGGGAGGCCTGGGTTTCTGCAGTCTTTTACAGCATGTATGCGTATATCTGGTTTCTTTTATCTGTGAGTGTCTTTTTTTGGATGTCTTATTTTTAAAACACAAGCATATATATGCGTATGTAGAATTGTCTTGTTCTCTTCCTCTTCATTCTTTCTTTCTTCCACGACAGCTGGTCATCGAATATCATCAACGAGAGCCTTTTATTCTATCTTGAAATGCAACCAGATATCAATGAAATACCCCTGAAAAACATTAGAAGTGCTGCACTGATCACATGGATTATAATGGTAGGTTAACCATGAGCTTTCTTAATCTTAGAAATCGGTCTTGTGAGGCTGGAGGAACAGCAGCAGTATAATGTGTGGGTTTTGATTTTGGAAATACAAACAACACCTTTTCACTCCAAAAAATCAGGGAAGAGAAGGAGAAAGTAAGAGAGGGGTAGGAGCTGTCATTGAGAGTGCTTTTCACACTTAGCCAAAATGTACCAAAGACCAACTTCTTCCCCTTTTACTAGAGTGTGCTTTCTCTGTCTGAGTGATTGCTATCCATTTTAAGGTGCAGAATAGACCATTATAATGAGTTCTGATCTAACCTTTCTAACCTCTGCTATAACACGAGCTACAAGGTTTTAGCTCATGATTCCTGAAGGTTCCCCCAAAACATGGATAATTTCTGATAATTCTTTCTTTGTAACAAGAGTTTTCTGTATTGCTGACTTACAAAAAATAATTACGTATTGTGTCATAATATATGGTTGATTATTTGGGGGGAAATGTATGAATAATCTTGACAGCAATGGACAAAAAGATAACTATAAGATATTGGGCTCTAACTGTGCTCTAGCTCTTTTATCCTTTTGGAATATTTGACAATGGATTTTCCAAAGATGATAACGCGGATTCCTGTTTCAAGAGAGTTAATCTTGGAGCTGTTAAATAGCCATAAGGCTATTTAGACCTGTGATACCTGTAAGACCTGAGCACGTTCTATGTAGTTAGGACCTTGTGCCACGTTGTATTAAAGGGTTAAGTATTGCAATTCCTTCATCTGACAGGGATCTTGCTCTTGTTCACCTGGAGAGCAAGAGGTCAGGTCCAGGAACTGAACTATTTTTTAAACTGACTGGAAAAATAGTTTGCTATTTTCATGTGAGAAAAATGGAAACATCTAAAACTATTTATTTGCTAAGCATCCCAAGGCAGTGGGAACAGAGATGATTTTTTGGGGAAATTATTGGGGATTTTTTTTGTTGTGTATCTCCCCATTTTTCCATTCAACTTTGAAGAATATCCTCACTAGCTCAGAAATCTGCAACAAATGCAGACCGATCAATTGCTAGTGTTTAAAAAAGCCTGACTGTATATGCTAATGTCTATTCTCACATATTTGGCTTGGCTTCTAGTGAAAAATATCCTATTTGCTTTTGTGAAGTAAAAAGTGTGCAGCTTTTGTGAAGTAAAAAGTGTGAGGAGTGTTAAAAACACTCTGGGAATGTGCAGCTTGTGAGGAGTGTTAAAAACACTCTGGGAGACTGACCAGCTGAAATTCATGCTAGAAAACTGTTTAGCGTTAGCGTTCATGGGATAGCCTGAGCATATTGAAACAACAGGTTGTGGTATCTCATTCTGATTTGTCTGTGTCTACAGTAGGCACAACATACACTTTTATTTGGATGCAGATGGCATCTTTGAAAAGCAATTGTTCAGTCTAAGGGAAGTTGCTAATGCATGCTAAATGTTTTGCTGGAGTTCAAATTCCAGCCGTAATAAGTGTAACTGCTATTATGCTTCTCTTTCCTAGGGCGTTCTTAATCCAATGCAAGGCTTCCTCTTCACATTAGCTTTCTATGGCTGGACAGGATGGAGAGTAGACCTGAAATGGCGAAAGAGAGAAATACCCTGGGAATCAATGTCCTCATCAACTGTGGGTGAAAATGCCTATCCCTCACCAGTGAACTACCAAAGCAACATCCATGATTCAAAGAAGATATCGACAACTGACAGCCAACAGACCGATGAGGCTATAAGCATGTTGTCTGAAGGTAACACTAGTGGTGATGACAGGTTAACCAGGAACTCTCCCATCTACCAGGGTTGGTAGTTTATAGGTGCAGAGCTGAATCTTACTTCCCCCTGTTGTCAAGACTCATAAAGTCATGGCACTGTGTGAACCACTACTTAATCTGGAATTAGGTACCTGCCTAATGATTTGATGTCGTTTCTTTTAACTTTTGTGTGTGTGAGAAAGTGTGTGTGAGTTGGAGAGAAATTATGGTTAATGCCTTAGTTTGCTTCATAGGGGTTGTGTAGAAAGTTACAAAGGCCTGATCATTTTTTAGCAGGAGTGTATCTCTGCAAGGATCTGTGTTACTTTTGATTCATTTTCATCCATTTTATTTTAACCTCTCTTGTAACCTTCATATAGTAGAGGAATTTTTTGTTTAAATAAATGAACTATTCGTATGTTGGGTTTTTAAATGTGTTCCCTTACTTGCCTTACTCAGCGTAAAACTCCTTACCCAGAACTATGGCTCTAGGATTTCTGAGACACGCTTTGTATCCTGGACACACTGGTCAAACATTACTAACAGCAAATTTTGACATAAGCACAGATTCACACTGTTTGTGTAGAATTTCACTAACAAAATCTTCATTTTAGCTTGTTTATATTACTTCTAAGTTTGTTTTTGTTTAGGGAGCTGAAAGCCTTTTTTTAAAAAAAAAACTAGGTTCTCTAAAAACTTCAGAATAATGGTTCTATTTCATTACCGATTCAAGCAAAACTGACCTTTCAAACTATTTTTTTTTTCTTTAGTTTAGGTTCAGTTGGATCCTTATATGAAGTTGTTTAACAGGACTATGGCTGTTAAGGAGCACAGTTGCATTAAGAAATAACATTTGCAAAAAAAAATGTAGATGATCTGAGCGCTCATGAAAAAGAAAAACTAGAAACAGTAGTCCCTCCTCTGAGCAGTGCTCTGTTTTACATCTTCAGTTGCTGAACAGAGAGATATTGAATCTATTCTATTTTCTCAGCTACGTCCTGTATCTGGTACAGTGCTACTAAGCACCTATACCCAAATACTTCCCCAGATTGATTAAAAATTAAGAAAAAATGATGACCATGTCTACCCCAGGCTTTTAATCTCACATTGGAAGTAGAACTAGCATGATTTAAAACTCATTGTTCTAGAAGCTTTTTACAGTAATTTGACAGACATTATGGAGAAAGCCACTTGACCCCACTAACCGTTCTTCTCCCTTCCTTCAGAATGTAGCCAGGTCCAGTCCTAAAACAAAATGTATTTTTTAGACCTAGTTCAAATTCCCTTTGACTCAGCTTCACTGGATGTCCAAACCCTTATTTTCAAACCCACTACAGGCCCAGCTATTTATAAAAGAATATATAATATTAAAGAAAGCTGAAAGGCTAGTGCAATAATATCATTGAGTTTCAGCTGCTGTGTTTCTCAGAAGAGTCCAAGGATGGTTAGGGAAGCAGGCTTATCAGAAACTACAGTGTAAGATATTGACTTGCTGTTTTAAGTAAATAGCCTTTTTGAATTAATCATTTGATAAAAAATTGTTAAACAGTGAACCCCTAATTACTTAGGCAGATCATTAGAGAACTGTGGTTGGTTTGTAGGAACTCTTGAGTCATGCCATATAGAAATCTTTATGGTTTTAGAGCTATATTATATTCATACTCTAGATATCAGGAATACTGTCATATCAATAGATCTCTAGGAATCAGTATTTTCTATAGCAATTCTGGTCCTCTGCCTGGACAGACAATCATTTCTTTCCTAGCTAAGTATGAATACAAAGCACAGGGACTTTGGGAGCAGATTATATTGATTCTTACGAAATGAAGGCCACATCTGCAGTGAAATACTCATCACAGTAGTTTAAAAGAGCAGGAAGAAGGCAGAGGTTGGTAAACCTTTTCAGATGCTAGGGTGTGGACCAAAGTACGAAACACTAAAACAAAATTAACAGCCTCTGGCTTCACAGAAATAATCAGGTGGTAGAAAAACATTCGGGAGGTGACCAACTGTAGCAAGAGGCCCTGCAAAACGGCTGACCAGCTAATCCCTCATTCCTTTTGCTACTCTAGGGACTCACACGCTGCTGGACCTGTGGGGGCAAGGACAGCCCCTCTGCCCCAATCCCTGCCCCTCTGCCCCCAGCCCACGCAGCAGTCCCCAAGCAGTGCTCGGTGGCTTCTGATGCTGGAAGAGCTTTGCCCAGCACCGCACACCTGCCCCGCTGGTTAGCCCTCGTGATGGAGCAGTGCTTTTGCTCCCTTGGTCTTTTGTCCTTGAACATAGCGCTGGGTGTAATCTGGCTCACGGTTTTCAAGATTGCTCTTGAGATGTGTGTGGTATTTTTATATATCATCAATCTATTGGGAAACCACTGTGAAAGATGAGAATTCATTGGGCAATAGAAGCAGGACATGCTCATTTGACTACATAGGTTTTGGTGACCAACCTAATTCTGATATGTTGAGGACTTGATATAGGGCATGGCAGAGTAAACCAACCATGGTTTTTAACTTATAAAAGAAATAAGTGTTGGAAGAGTTTTCTTACTCACTTTTCTCAGTCTCTGGTGGATGTATATGAAACTTCCACAGCTTAAATGAATTATGATTTTCTCTGCTCGTGTGTAACCATGACAGCATTTGATTTCACCCACACAGACCTTGCTCTTGCCTTACTGCTTACCGTTTTGAGCAAGGTCGTGCCTTCTACAAGTGTTACAGGGTGCCTGTCTATCCTGATCAGGAGCGTGCTTTCAAAGTGGATCTTCTGATTGCCCCCACTGACTGCGCTTGCTTCATGTTGTGGGGCAGTCTCAGAGCACCTGAACCGATTTCCTTTTGGGTGAAACCAAGTGTGTCTTCCATGGGTCACCAAGGGCATGCCACCTGGGCATCCCAGGCTCAGGCTAGGTCTAGTCTGAATTTAAAAAAAAAAAATGCTGAAATCAGATGGACTGGATGTCAAGTCTTCAGCGCTGTATAATGGAAAAGATCAACTCCTAATTGCAATACCCACTAGTGTAGACATAGCCTCAGAGAGCTGTATAGTCCTATAAGCTTTAAACCAAATACACCGCTCACTCCTTATGTAGATACTTGGGCAAACTGCAGATTAGTTTGTAAGGTATCCATGAGAGCATGCAGAGTAGTTATGCTGTAGTCCCTTCGAAAGTTGGGCAGTCAGAAATTAATTCCTTCTTATTGTGGTTAAAGGGATGTATATGAGAGTTACGTTTGCCTTTTGAACATATTCTAAGATGTAAAGCTCAGCAAGCTAGAGATAGCTTGAGAGAGAGAATTTACTCACATAAAACATTAGAAAGTATTTCTAATAAAAAGTATAGTTAAAAGGAAATGAACTTAGTGTTGACACAGGTAATAGATAGAAGACCACAGAGCGTGGTCCTGTACAGTATAGTTTTAACACCAGCCTAAACACTGTCCTCTTCAATTTACTATGTACCCTCTGCTAATAGGAGCCTTGAACTTACTAGCACATGGAAAAACATCCTAGTTTTCACTTATGTGATGGTTTGTATCAGTATAGTCATGGTGTTGTGATAAGTTCCCACACAGCGCAAAGGGTCGCTTCAAACACTCTTAGTTTTAGGAGCATACTGGCAGGCTGTTTCTGATTAATGTGGAAAGTACTTGTTGCTAGCCTGAATATTTGCTTTCTAAGGGATATTGTGAATGTAGCTTGGATGGAACAGGAGTAGGATCTTTTCAATACCGAAGTCAATGAATGCAATCAGAGTCTGTGGCGTTTATCTTGTACTGTCTGTGGAAGGGACTCTTTCACACTTACTTCTTCAGTTTATGAGCTAGAATATAGATGTTGCTCTGGAACAGCAAGGTGTGACTTAGAGGAGAAGTAGATGGGGAGTGAGATCAGATACTGTCTGATGAAATATGTTTAGCTAAAACACTATGTTTTGGGAGCACAGCAATGATCAATTTTAGTTTGTTGTATTTTAGGTGAATCAGTGCATAACAAAGCCCTCCTGAACTTATTGAAGGGAAAAATCTGTAAATTAAAAATAATAGTTGAATCCAGGCACTGAAAGAAAATTATTGCCATCAAATCTGTGGAATCTCGTAAATTGAATATCCACATACACAGTGCAATGCAGATAAATTGCCTGTGTTCAACACCCCCGTCGCACTCCCGGCCACGTTATCAAATCCAACCATGCACTGTAAGTGTTCCCTGTATTAACCAAAACTTATTTTTAGGCCTTTTAATGATAAGATGAAAACTTCCAGAAGTTTTCTCTCGTATCCTGTAATACTATCTGAAATACTCCTAGCTTTTTTCTGTTAGTGGAAAGGGATATACAGGGCTGTATTTGACCTGCCAGCTTTGAAAACACTTAATTACTGTTTTATTTGGCCAGATGTTCAGGCTAATTGCAAAGCTGAAATATGAGCGTTAGTAAAATAATAAACTACTTGAATAAGCAGACATCTTGCATACGAAAGCTCTGCATTTATGAGCTCTGCCATATGTTTAAATACCAAAATCCGAAGTACATCTTCCATTAAGCCCTTCCTCTGGTCTTGTGGACCAAATACATGGAGAATGTGAAATGCCTAATTTGTGGTTATTTTTTTTCCTCTGTATTACAGGCCTTGTTCACAAATCATCATTGTGTGTTCATGAGGACAAATTATCCAAGCTTCTAAAATTCTCTAGACTTTTCATGGAATCTTCAAGTCTGCTGTAATTCCATCTGGAAATCACTAACTTATGTGATAGCTCATTTAATTTTAAGAATGGCCAGATAATGTCTGGATCATTGATCCTTTAAGGAGCAAGCATGCACATGCACTGAAGCTGATAACTGAAGAAGGGGCAGTCTTGCTGAGAAGTAAAATAGGGAGCACAGTCAAATCCAGGGTTGCATTCGAATCAGTTTTGCGATGCAGTTTATGCATCACAACATGCTGTCAGCTCTATGGAAAGTTGGTTCTCCCACCCCATCTCACTGAACAAACTCAGGATATTTTTGTGTGTGCTGTTTAATTGAAAGCCCTGAGAAGATATCTCACATCTGATGGTGTTGTTAGAGCGAGGGTTCAAAGGCAGAAGGAATGTGCAGTGTCCCCACAGCCCCCCACGATCACCAGGCCTTGTGAATTTGCTCAGACCCAATAGAGCAGAAACGTTGGTGTGACCCAAAGGTGTGATCCACATGTAGAAAAGCCTGGGTTTCTAATTAGCATAGAAACATTTATGTCTTAGAGGTAGAAAGCTTGGCTCTAAACCTCAATTTGAATGTCTTCCATATCAGGAAGTTTTTAGGCCCTTGGAAATTAGTTAAGGCTTCTTTCTGTTTTGCAGAGAGTGGGGAGTATTTAGCTGATAACAAAACAAAATAAATTTGATTGTCTCCTTTAATGCCTCATACATCGTGGATGTTTTACACAAATTAGTATGTGATAAGGCATGTTCAGGCCAATTGTATTTATTGAAGCATTAGTAAAGGTGATCACTTGGTAACTCTAATATGTTATTAGATACATTTTCTTTTACAGGACTTACGTGGCTGAGCTCTACATTTACCTCATTTTTTTCTTTCGGGTACCTTTAGCAAGATGAGATCCAAATGGCATAGTGTAGAGTCTTAGCAAGAATATCAAGTAGAATGAGAGATGAAAGCACTATACTATTTTAAAGAAATACTAGAAAAAGGTATGTGTTAGTTACAGTAGGTGCTGTTTGTGCCCAAATGACTAATATACCTTTAGTTTTAGAAAAAGCTATAATGTATCTGGGAAGTTAGAGCAACATAAAACCAAGTCAATGTGGTTAGAGCTGGAGTTAGGCTGTGTGAAAGCTGGGAGCTGCATGATGAAGTGAATGTAGCACAGATGTGTAGAAATAGGAATGCCAGCTTGTGTGGGTGTTTACAAAGAGCGTGTTATTTGAAGTTAATATGGGCTCAAGATAATGAGGGAGAATTCCCAGGTAGGGCGTTATTTGTTTAGAGTGAGGAAACAAAGACTTTGTAATGAAAGTGTCTGAACTTTTCTCTTCCTTCGCTCCCAAATGAATTAGTTTCTGATTAAGGTGAAATGAGCAATCTTGCTGAAATAAAAATATCTTACGGACATTGAATAAGGGATATATTCTGAGTAGCTTCTAGATAAGATTAGGATTTTGCAGACAGAAAGTCTCAGCCACTAGAAGTCAAAATGATCACAAAAATTTAGTTCGATGATTCGATCACTCTGAAGCACTGTGTGATCAACTGCTGCTTAAGAGTTTGGCTGATAGTACATGGTATTTTGCAGTTACTTAGCAGAGGCAGAGAAATGATCTGACTAATAGTGATTGCCTTTCTGCCCCAGCAGATACTAGTTCTCCACCCAACAAGGAGTTTCTCCTAATACATTTTTATGGAAAATCCTCTGTGAAGGGAATGCAGCTTTTACAAAGGAGACTGTACAGGACTGCTTTGAATTCACATTTCCATTTTGTTTGGTTAAACTGATTAAAGACCTGGTAGCTAGGCTAAGGGATGACTTTGTTTAAGGAGGCATTTGGCTCTCAAGAAGAGCTTCAGTTCTTAAAGTTCTGGTATAAATCCAGCTTTACTTTAGTGGGAATCAATCTGATGGCAGCGTATTTGCTTCTTTGAAAACAGTTTGTAGTCTTAATTCAGTTCACAGAACGCAGGCCTGCTTTTCACAGGAACTGCCCCAGGTGTCACCTTTAGTGACAGTTTCACTAGAGGCAAGAACTGAAGACGTTTGGGGCCTGATCTGGGCTCTCACCCTTGCCCTGTTAGGTCTTTTGGGTCAGGTATTAGACACAGGCTAATGAGAGTTTAAAAAAAGTGTGCATTATTGTTTCCTAGCTGGAAGCATACATGGGGCATTTCTAGTCTGAGCATTTTCAGGAATCTGGAGACTGAATTCACTTAGGAAAATCAGAGCGGGTGGCTTTGCCCTGAATCACATGACAGAAGCTGATGGCTGTAGACTCAAGAGTGGAAGGGAATTTCAGCTGGAAATGCTAATCTGTTCAGGTTAGAAAATTTAATTTTAACAGCCATCTATATTAGTGTGTTTCACTCTATAAGGCCTCTGAATGAAAATCATTGTATCATTTATATTTACAAATATGAGGATTCTATGCTTTTAATCTGAATAAAATGTCAAATTGACAGCAGGTAAATTTGCCCTATGAAGTCTGAATAAAAGAAATTGTATTTTCTTTGCTGGCCCAATGGTACAAATAATACTGTTATAAAAACACAGTCAATTTTTGAAATGATACCAGTCAGCTGAAAAGAAAAAAGTCTAAGCCAAAAAAGCCCACAAAGTTGTGTTGCCTGAATATAGTAGAAGAACAGTGAAATCCACATAAACATTCATTAGAAACTGATGTTGAAAGGATTCTTTATCATCCAGTTATAAATGAGAATATCTACAGCCTGAAATACCTTTCAGGATTCCACTTCTCCTTTTAACAATGAATGGGAATCTCATCGTACCTTTCTCATCAGCCCTTATTAATTATTACGTCTGAGGTTTATCAGCAGCAACACTGCATTCCAGTCGCCCAGTAGCAGGGAACAGTGGGGAACAAGCTCACTTACGTAGTGGAAGTCGTCCTGTGAAGAACGTGATAAGAAGACTTTGTGCTCCTCTTTCCTGTGTTGGACTCTGGGGCTTATCATGTTTTGGGACTGCAGGAAGGCTTTTAAACTTTCCGGCATCTCTGTAGGTGAATTTGACTCTTTGCAAAGCCAGAGCGTTGACGTGGGGAAACATGGGGTGCTGGAGAGGGCAAGTTCACCCTCAGTGGAGGTACCCTGTGCGACTGTGCCCTGATGTCGCACTGGGGTGAGATTCAGGCATCTGACTATGCCTTTGTTTGGGCATGGAGTTTAAGGGCTGAAAAAGAGCTGTGATGGCTGAAAGCAGATTCCTTCCTCTGGCATATCTGTTAATAAAGACAACCTTTGAGGCCTGGTCCTAGCCTAGTCTTCCACCAGCTTTCCTCCATCTCCCATGAACTACTTAATGCTTTCACACAATGTAACAGAGATGGACAGAGAGCATAAATGGGGGCCTTGGGTTCTTCTTCTCCAGGTACCTCTGGACAGGAGAGGTAACCTCATATGTGGTGACACATCTGTGAGCCCCCTGAAAAATCCTGAAAATACATAAAACAAACAAGACCTTTTTACCATGCTTATTAAAAAAAGTAGATTTAAGGACAGCGGTTTAAAACAATGAGGTGGTTTTGTCAGTGCAATGTAAGGAGGAAGTTCTGCCATGGCTGTGGTGAACGAGTTGTTCTTGCGGTGTCCCCCACCTCAGATGGCACCAGGGCGAACGCCAGCGTGAAACACTGGCAACCATTCATTGAGCTGCAACCACATGATAGCATCCGCTGATGTTTGGCCTAATGCAGATCTTGAGTGAAATTCCTTGGGGGAGAGAAAAAAAGAAAGAGCAAGTCTCTCCTTAGGCTAAAGCACTCAAGCAAGTACCACATTTTATGTGGAAATGAAATGGGCTTCTCCCACCCTGGCCCTAATCATGTGCCTCCATGTGAGAGAGGACACAGCGTTATTCTTACAACCTCTTTGCTCAAGGCACCAGACATGACTTGCCAGTGATCACAGACATTCCCACAGCCATGCTAAGTGCTCTGTTTAACAGCCCAGCTCTGCTAAGTCAGGGTGTAATGCAGTCAACCATTCCCTAGGAATGCAATTACACAGAGAACAATAAGGCAGAGGC